CTCTCTCCTCTCTTTCATTCTCTCTCCTCTCTCTCTCACTCTCTCTCTTCTCTCTCTCTCCTCTCTCTCTCATTCTCTTTCTCTCTCTCCCCTCTCTCTCTCTCCTCTCTCTCACTCTCTCACCTCTCTCTCACTCTCTCTCCTTTCTCTCTCCATCTCTCTCCATTCAGCCCCACCCTGTTAGTTTCTCCCCCTCAATCACTAACCCAATACCCCTTTAGGCCCACTGGGGGGCACTGAGGTGAAGTGATCAAGGTCCCTGCCCTCAGGGAGCTTACGGTTTCACTGAGGAGACAAGAGTCACTCATGAAAAGTTATGGGAGCAGTCTGTGATCAGAGCAGGGCTGATGAGCTGGGGGGGGGGGGCGGTGAGGGTGGTGAAGGCTCAGACAATGCAAAGATCGGTCCACCTGAGAAAGATTAGGGCCAACTCCCCGGAGGAGGTGATGTTTCAGCTAGTTCTTGAAGGATGGATAGGAGCAGCAAAAGGTGCTTGGATGGGAGGGGCAGTGAGTGACCTGGTCTACCTGGGGCCGGTTTGGAAGGCCTTGAATGCCAGGCAAGTCATGAGTCGACCCCCGTCTCAGTGCCATCTCCTGCATGGCCCCTGAGTCCTCCCCTCCCCCGCAGCCTCGAGGAAGGCTGCCTCCTTCTCCACTGCTTACCTCTTTCCGTGTTCTCCAGGCAACAGGATGGCCTGGCATGGGGCCCCAGCCCCTCTTGGGCTCCGGGCCAGCGAGGCCCTGCAGCTACTGGGGCCATCTGCTTGGCTGACAGCTGGTGCCCACAGGAGCAGGCAGCGCCGAGCAACGGTGGGGCGAGAGCTCTCCCCTCCCCATCCAAGGAGGGGTGGAAGCGGCCTCCCCGACCCCAGGAAAGTAGCAAAACGGAACCTCAGAACATAGAATGTCAGTGCTAGGAGGGCCTATAGAACATACAGTGTCAGAGCTGGGAGGGGCCTTAGAACACAGAAATGTTGGAGATGAGGAGAACCTTAAATTAGGGGAATATTAGAACAAAGACCCTGAGAACACGGAATGTCAGGGCTGGGAGGGTCTTAGAACATGGAAGGTCAGAGCTGGGAGGGGCCTTAGAACAGGGAATGTCAGAGCTGGGAGGGACCTTAGAACAGGGAATGTCAGGGCTGAGAGGGGCCTTAGAACATGGAAGGTCAGAGCTGGGAGGGGCTTTAGAACATAGAATGCTGGGAGGGCTTTCAGCTCTGACCTTGGAACCAGGAGGAAGCCTGGGGAATCTTGTCGAGCTCCCTTCTTTCAAAGAGAAGGCGGCAACAGCTGGAGAAGGGTCTTGTCTGCTGTGGAAGGTTACGGGCCGTATACTCCCGGGATGATGTGGTAGCTGGCTGGGGGCCACATTTGAAGGGTGATGTTGAGCCAGTTTTCACTCATGGGGCACAGACTGTCATGGGAAGGGCTCTGAAAGCCGGGTTTTGTGGGAACCTGTCGAAGGAATCACAGATACTGAATGAGGTTCATAAGGGCCAAGAATAGTGTCTCCTGCCTTCCAATCTGTGTCGCCTTCATGGATGGCTAATGGTGGGACCTCAGGCACTGTGACAGACTATTGGTCACCCCCAAGGGAGGAGGGGGTGGCAGGTGGCCTGCAGGGCAGGGAGAGGTCATGGGCAGGCCTAGGTTCTGAGGGACTGGAGAGGGGCAGACACGGCAGCACCAGGCTGCATCTCTGAGCTGTAGGGAACTTCCCGGGCTGGCCTCATGGGACCACAGGCTGACCCCAGGGCCCCGAGCCCCTGCTGCCTCACCTTCCCCCACCCCTAGCAGCTGGGGTTTAGCTCTGGAGAGCTGGGGGCGGGCAGGCTGACTCATCCAGGCGGCAACGACAAGGAGCTGCTCCAGCGAGAATAATGGGCATGTCACCCACCCCCAGGGTCCCCCGCCTACCCCTCGCCACCCTCCTGACGCAGGAGCCCAGCATGGGTGACGGTGATGGTGGCTGGGCAGGAAAGAATTTGGCGAGTTGGAGCCGGTCCAGGGGAAGATGACGAGGATGGGGAAGGGCCCGGAACCATGCCCCGCAGTCAGCCAGGAAAAGCCCTGACTTCTCTGTTCTAAGCTCCCCCCAGCCTTGACATCCTCTGTTGTAAGCTCCCTCCCAGTCCAGACCTTCCCTGTGCTAAGGACTCTCCCAGCCCTGACATCCTCTGTTCTAAGCTCCCTCCCAGCCCTGACCTTCCCT